AAAAAATCATTTATTTATTCTGACAAAACAAAGAAACTTCAGTTGTGAAGATGTTACATACATAAATCTGCATAAGTTACTGCTGAAAAAAATGTTTTCTCTTTTCAGGCCTTATACAGACCGTTCTGCTACAGTAGTAGCACTTTCCCAAAAATGTTTAATATATCTAGTTTTACTATAGTGAGTTTGCAATAATAAATAATCTGTCATTCAACTGGGATACAGAATAATGAGTTTTACAGGATCTGCATAATCCAATTTTATGAAACAACACTGAGCAAGCTCCATGTTCACTGTTTAAATTTGAATTGTGCATGTGTGTGTGTGTACACATATGTGCCCTGGGTTTATTTTGTGTAAGAATGGCTCATTCAAACCTTTGCAAGACGGCCAGCGTGCCAGCATTGACCCGGTGAATGCCGTCCAGCAGGACCAGCTTGCCCTCCACAGCAGCAGTCACAAGCGGGGAGGATCTCCAGGCAGTGTCTCCATTTGGAAGAGTGTATCTCTGCTGTAGCAGATCACGTGCTGTCATATCCTAAAAGCAATGTCCACCAACACCAAAGAAAATACAGAATTAAAATTCAGGACATAGATTGTAGCTTATTTAGCTTTATAGTAATTATTGTATGTACATACTGTTTCTTTTTTCTTTTTTCTTTTCTTTTTTTTTTGGCAGAACTGGGGATTGAACTCCAGCCCTTATGTTTCCCTGGCAAGGGAAGCCATTCTACTGAGCCATCTCCCCAGTCCCTGTACATACTGCTTCATATAACAAATGGGAAGTCTTCAAATCTATCAAAGACATAAATCCTTAGAAATCTCTAGATTATAGGCGTGTGCCACCGCACCCAGTCTCAATCACCATCTCAGCATGCCCCAGCGGTGGGGCTGGCAAAGCAAGCTGGGGATCGAACTCCAGTCCCTGCAACTGCCTAAGCAGAAGTATTAGTCCACTGAGCTATTGGCCAGCTCTACTACCTGATATTTAAAATTAATTTTATGGAAAAAAAATTAATTTTATGGGACATTTTTAGATCTACATAATGGTGAAATCTATCAGAGGAAATTTACATGCTATATCTTGACTCTTCTATTTTTCTCTTTCCCCTCCTCTCCCTTCAACATCCACCCACATTTAATAGAATTTAACTCAGCTTTACTCCTGCAGGAACAAAATGTGCTGTTATGCCCTGTCCAGATGCAGAGCATAGAAGGCAGTCTTGGGGCTTTTTCAGAGGTGGCTGAATCTAGCATGCATGATGCTGGGATTAAGAGTGTTTGATCACAGTTCACTGACTGCTTTCGCACCTCGCTAACTCAGCAGCCTAGATAGAGCACAATACGGGAAGAAAGACACTGTTAAGGTCAGCTGTTGAATTTTGTCTTCTGCCCACCATGACGTGTTCTCTGCAAAGCCACCCAGCTGTGGAGCCAGCTGATTATGTACTGAAGCCTCTACAAACTGGGAGCTAAATAAATCTTTCCCCCTTTAATTTTGGGTATCAGGTGTTTTGTCTCAGATACGCAAGTCAAGAGAAAAATAGCTACAACATGTGCTGATTCCGTTATAAAGTGAGAAGCCAAGAAAACTCAATACTGAGAGATTATTATCAACAAGGTATGTTTTCTTCTAGTTGATGAGTTGTCCTGATAAGCCATGCCAGGAGCCATCACAGTGGCTCATTACATTTAAAAAAGTTTCAGAGTGGAGGAAACTGAGGACAGGCATCAGATGAGATACAGGAACTGACAAACGCTAGCATGGTACTTACAAACAATTTTTTGAAGCGCATATGCAATATGCTAGTACTAAAATAATGTAACACACTTAGACAAACTATTAATAGTTGTGGTACATAAAAAATCTTTCTACTCTAAAAACTGTGGAGCATATAATGTAAGCAACTTTCTTTTTTACATGTGTTAAGAATGTCGAAGATGATGATTATTACTATCTTCAGATAAATTTTGTCCTATATAAAGGTTTATATAAAATAAAACTTAATTTTTTATGGTCATATTTATTCAAAAATTAAAGTCTTTTGTAAATTGTTTGATAATCCCTCCAAGTTTGAAGCACATAGGAGACTAATAAATGTACTTATAATTACAATGTATTACAGGGCCTGGGAGATGGCTCAATAGAGTAAGCGCTTGCCTGGCAAGCACAAGGGCCTGAGTTCAATTCCTGGTTCCGCCAAAAAATAAATAATAAATAATTACAATGTATTGAAGCCAAGATTAAAGTGTGAATCTTACTTCAATATTCCAACTATCAGAAAGTACTGACTTAGGAAATACTGAAAATATGTGGCAATAAAAAATTTTTAAGAAGGAAGACAGGTTAGTTTTGAACCATAAAGACATCTTAGAAATGGTAACATTCATACTTTCCAGACTTAAGGGACTGGTTTGGGCATATTAATTAGAATTTGGTCTAACTCTTTTACTCATTGTATGAAATTCTTATACTACAAATTTTAAATTTTATGCAAACTATATAAGCATGTCACTCTATACTGCCAATGACAGTTATAACAGCCAATATTAAACTCATCCCCATCACCAGTGTTTAGTGAGCCGGTGCACAGTGGGGCTGAGCTCATTCCCAACCAAGCTCTGCTGCACACTGGTAAGTGGGTTGCTCCAGGCAAAACAGAAAAATTTTAAGTTCTGTGATTCATTTTAACAGTTATATTTTAAAAATCAAGTGTATATATGTACATACATACTTACACACTTATGCAATCTTTTTCATGTCAAAAGAAGTAAACTTAAAATTTTCAGTATTAATTATTCCCAAAAAATATTCATTGTAGAGTTATATAACATATTATCCTAGAAAATTAAACTGGAAACAACTTTAGCATAGTGCCATAAAATCAAAGTTACACATCAGGAATAGCTGGGAAATGTTTTGAAAATACATGAAGCTAGGTCTCACTATCCCGAAGGTAGGCCTCACTCTCTTGATTCAGTCCAACTACCAGCTTTTTAATTAATACTATGATTGTAATTCTGATGTGCTACCCAGGAAGGACACACTGTTTTATAAGACATTAACTGATGCGAATCTTTCTCTAATTTATTTATACTGCTTCCTTACAGGACTTAATGAGATGGCACAACGATAAACAAAATAACAAAACAGCATAATTTAAAAGTAATGTAAAAAAACAAAAGAAAGAGTAGGCCTTGTTTCCTTCACTAGAAGGTTTCTACTAGAACTCAAAGGAGGAGGTGGCACTAGGAATTGATCCCACTGATACCACCTTTGCAAAGAAATACATGGATGTTCATTCTGAATATCGTAGCTCCAGACTGAAAACAGACAGAGCCAAGGAATATCAGAGAGCTGGTGTAAGAGGTTCAGGGTCCTAACCAGCTGAAGTTAGAAAATTTCAATAGAGAGAATTGTTTAAACTTTCAATAGGGAGAATTCCACTGGCTATAATCACAAAGCATAAATCACAATTTTATGTATGATATGAAAAAACCACTTATATGTCCCTTGGTCATGTTTCAAAGTACTATAATATGTTGTTAAGTCACACAATGTTTACAGTACTTTCTTCATCCACGTAAGTAAATATTTACTAACAGAGGTGATGACAAAGACAACTAGCACACCAGACTCCTCTTTTTGAATTTAGCAACTGTAAACTCCCGTGTTAGTTGATACATTGTGTCAACTTGGCTGAATCAGCTCAGGCAGTTCTCCGCATGGGGGTCTAGCCCTGCAGGTGGGCAGGGCCCAGGAATTGAGAAAGGCTTCCCGGCGCCCTGCCCAACCTCCTGCCACCCTGCCCCGCTTCCCTGGAGAAGTCCGAGTCCTCTGAGGCGCTTGGCCTCCACAGTCGCACCACTTTGGACGAGCTCCCATCTTCACCGTGGAGCGCCGGTCTTTGCAGTCAGTGTAGAAGGAAATCAAAGGCTCGATGGAGGCCGCAGCTGCTGCTCCTCCTCTGCTCTTCATTGTTTTCTCTCAATGAATTGCTGTCACTTGCCTTGGAGCCAGCGGAATATGGACTGAACCCTCCAGTAACTGTGAGCTAAATAAACCTTTCCTTCCTTCATTTTGAGTGTTGGGTATTTGTCCCAGCAATGAGTAAAAAGTAACTAAGACAACTCCCTTATATTTACTGAAGAAAAGTGAAATAATTATTTGTTGTTGAACAAGATATGATATCAGTATAGCTCAATGCTGTTAATGCCAACCTCAAGTATCTTAAAATGCTCAAAGTACTTGAATATTCTTCCTGTTTTCAATCTTCAGAATAGTGAAAAGCAGAAAATACTTGGCATTTCTTAGAAGACTAGCTCAGTTCACTTTTTAAACTGTATATACAAGGGTTATTCTTCATTTCTAATATATCTTGAATTAAAATAAAAACCTTCTTGAGAGAAAAAAGCCTTCCTTTTAAATATAAGCTGCTGATTTTCATAAATGAGATCTTACAATGAAAGAGAAAAATTACAGCATTTTTTTAAAGAGACAGTTGTTTTTATTTACCCCAATATTAGGTAAAATCAGAAGTTCTTTTCAATTGTGTGAAAGTTGTTCTCATTTGTGTAAGAATGAAACTAAACCTTCACAGGATAACCAGACCTAATCTAAACTAAACCTTCACAGGATAACCAGACCTAATCAAATCTAACATAAAAATTTCTGGATAGTCTGCATGGCCCACTGATGTGTGTGTGTGATAACAACTACAGTCAATATTTTGAACATTTTATTCCGTAAAAGATGAATGCCATTACCATCCCCCACCCACCTGGCAACACAGTTATCCCATCATTCTTGCTACTTTCTAAAGCAGTTACAGAAGTCTGCTTTGCTGAGTCTTTTAGTTGTGCTGTTATATCTGCCTCAGTCTCTTGAATCAATTCAAAATATTTAACTTTTTAGTCATTTTGACTTTTGGGAAGAACCAAGAGGTGCATTGTGCCAGATATGGTGAACAGGGTGATTGAGGACACACTGGAATATTTTAAAGAGCCTACCTAAATAATGGCACTCATTCTAATTTTGATCATATCTCACAAAGATACTTATGAAAGAGGACTTGAAGAACTGCTTTGAAAAGTGGCAAGAAGGTTGGACAAGTGCGTCTGAAGTGAGGGAGAGTATTTTGACAGGGGTTAACGATGGATCTTTAATTGTAACACTTTTTTAATTTGAATATTTCTGTAAGACTAGGCATGGTGGCACGCGCCTATAATCCCAGCACTTGGGAGGCTGTAAACAGGAGACTCACTACCAGTCCGATCTAGTAGTGAGACCCTGAACACCCTGTAGACCCTTCCTTAAAATACAATGAATAAACAAATAAATATTCACTGTATATGATTTTTCCTGTCTAAATGCACAACGCTATAGCACTAATAACATTAGTGCTATTAGTAAGTTAAAAAGCAAATGCTTTTTGTACTGCGCCTTTTTTAATGGGCATTTTGAAAACACAATAATGAAAATTAAGACAGATGGAATGTTCTCATTTTTGCATACATTTTTCTTATCTCTGAAACCAC